TTTATTTTACAGGTTTAAAATACAATATGGTCATATTAAAACAGTTATATGTTTAATTATTTTATCATTAGATAGAAAAATGATATATTTATAAATGATATGAAAATATCATTTATAAATTTCCATGTATGGTTTGTTCATGGACACGAAGAATATCCACTCGTTTAAACCACTTGTTACAAACTGTACACATATAAACTCTTTGAACTGCATCGCGAACCATCCGTTGATGTCTACGCTACATTTTGCTTTGCTCCGCTTATTTGCAGGAAATCTAAATAATCGAACGTCTGTAGATTTACTTTTATAATTTGGTGCCACACAATAACCCATTGTTTAAAGGTTTGAGTACTTATATACGTAGTAATAGTCGACTCACGCAGGAACTACGAGTGGAGTGTAGTCTATCGATAAGTCCCAAAATGGCCTCTGCCGCATAGAATCACGGGAGCGTGTCCTGACCTTCTTATATAGACCTTGTTATTAGCATATTCGATTCTACAGGAAATACACACTATTGTACTTTCTTTATCTTCCTTTGTTTGTTATGGCAACGTTACACTTGGGCGATCTGCCTAGGGGATGCCTTCCGGGAGGTCTTTTTAAGGGAAATTTGTCCCTATTTAGGTGTTACAGACGTGGAGAAAACTCTGAAGACTTTATGTCCGAGCTAGGCGCGAACCCACGATCGAAAATCCCATGCAAAATTTCAGAAATTTTCGACAAAAAGCACAGGAGTCATTAAGATTCAAACAGGATAAACAAAATCGTGTTTACCCTCACACACACACTTACATACAGAAATTACTCCCGAACTAGATTATTCAAATTTATTTTTTCAACTATTTTTTACTGAAATAATCTAATGAGAGAAATAGAAAATGTCGAATCAACTTAATTCTAATTTAAAACTCTAATTTTTAAGTCATTTAAACCAATGATTAATTCATTTTAATAAATTCTAATTTCCTTATAATCATTCTTAAATCTTAAATTTGCAATGGCTGGAATGTATAAAAAGACTCGTGACATTTTCAAGGGCATTCTAAATAATGCAATCATTATTTTTAACAAAAAACATTTAAAATATCAAATGATACACTCATTTTAAAGAAAAATATTTTAAATAAATAACTTTTCCTGTTATGTCCACAAAATTTTTTCTTTTTGAACTCGTTCTATTGTCTAATCAACAATCTTTTTATACTGTATCAAGTGTTTGTTACACTCAAAACAATTTTTAAAATGTCAAATATATTACGAGAATATATATTTAATAATATGATATTTTTACCACATTTTCCTCATTCAATTACAATATTTTTGTTTCAGGCCCATTTACGCCAAGCATGGCTGCACCTATTTTATTATGTTTTATCTTTGTTGTTCATCTTATATTGCCGAGAAATTTGTTAAATCAACCTTTTCGCTGTAATAATAGTATAGACAGCAAGAAAATTTGTATCCTTTTACATTTATCAAATAATATGTAGTCAGATAAATGATTTCTTATAGTGCATGTTTACGTATAGTTTACACATTAATTTTCTATAGTTTTCCTAGAAATACTTCCAGGAAGTTTCATGACGCTCATTTGGCCACTGGCCACATAGGATATGACAGAATGTTGAAAGAACTTTCATTCAAATACAAGAACGTTACTCGTCTTGATACTGAACTGTACCTTTGTGAGCCATGCCAGAGAAAGCAAAAAGGCATTTTAGAAAGTGTTGTTGCGAAGCCTATGGTTTTTTCTGAATTTAATTCCCGTTGTCGATCTCATTGATTTTCAATCCCAACCTGACAGGGAATACAAATTTATAATGGTGTACCAAGATCATCTCACTAAATTCGTGGTTCTCAAGGCTCTGACTTCAAAGAGAGCGGAAGAAGTAGCCTACAATCTCGTTGCTTGGGGCATCTCCATTCTACGTCTGATAACGGGACAGTTCCGGTCAAAGCTGAAATCTGGTAAGCCTAGTTTTTAAGTAACTTTATTAAGCTACATGAAAGATTTATGAAGGTCACAAGGCTGTTCTTTACATTCATTTCTTTTTGTAAAACCAGATTTTTCTATATTTCTCACAAACAGTTTATGCAACCAGCACATTTTACTTGTTTTGCTAATGAGGAAACATTTCCTGCTATGCATTCCACATATTCATAACATAATAATAGTGAGGAATATGGATATTCAAAAATAGTGTGGTGATCAAAATGCAACATTCCAGTCAAAGCCTATGGGAGTTTGAGTGGAATGATGCATTTCAATCACGGCTATGAAGACTGCAGGTCTTTCAGTCAGACAATAGGCCTAATATATTTTGATTCTTCCGCTGTCATCTGAAATTTGCTGAACATGTTAGATCAATCTCAGTGCCATAACAATGAAGGGGGCTATGAAGTGGCTAAGACCCCTCATACTGCAGCAGTGCTGCAGTATGCTGCATATAATAATATATGCTGCATCGTATATGCTGTATACAGTATATAAGATGCAGCTCGTATATACTGTATACAGTATATACAGTATGCTGCATGCTGCATCGAGAGTGCATATGCAGCATACTGTATATACTGTAATATCCGCAACTTGGAAGAGTCAATAAGAGCCAATATCAAATGCATTGACTAACTTCCCTAATATTTTATTTCTGGCTACCAGGCTGATCAATCTGTGCAACCAAGCATTTTCTATAAGCTATGGAATTATTACGGTTATACTCGTTTACGAATAGAGGAAAAAGAAGTTCTAGATGAACCTATCTTATACCTCTTGTCAGCAGAAATGATAAAATTGATGATTCTGTCCTTTGCCAAACCTTTCACAGTCAAAAGAACCAAAATGGCCAATGGCATTTTTATCTTTTATCTCTTTTTATCTTTGGCTTTGGCCACTCTATCTATTCTATATCGTTGGCACAATGCCTTTTTATCATATCCAACGTGGGTTTGAGTATGCCCACAATGGAAGCGGCTATAAAATCCTAAAATAGACTAAGTTATAATACAAAATGATATATTTGTATATAATAAATTATAGATTGTTTGACATGTAATAAATCATAAAAATAATTAAATTATTTGTAAATCAGGAAAAAAAATTAAAACTATAATAATATAAAAGTTAATTAACGATATTAATAAACTGAAATTATTGTGAAAATGTCACATCAAGTCAACACATTAGAACCTTTTTATATCCCAGTAAGAACAAAGAATTATTATTAAGGAATGTAATTATAAAATACATTTTATTAATATTTAATTATTAAAAGACTTTTACGAAATATAATGATTATGAACTTAATAATTCCCTTTCCTCGTTCATTTTATTTTACAGGATAAATCGAATAAATTATTTTAATTAAATTGTCAAATTTAGGTTCATATATATATTGCAAACTGAAATGATGCTTGTCACGTGTACTGTGTAACACGTCCTGTTTTGATATTATATCAAATATTTTCATTACAGATTTTATGCTCGAGTGAACTTTAAGCCAGGGATGTGCATGACCTTCTATTGTATATCCTCAACGAACAATTCATGATTACCCAAGAATAAAGACAATAGAAATATTTAAAAAAACTTCGAAAATCCTTTAAGGAAACAAATGTATATTTTAACAAACAAATACTATATTTACATTAAATAAAATTCCTTTTTTTATACCAATTAAACTATAAGTCAATTGTATTAAAACACTTTAAAACGAAGTTTTCACTTTATATAAAAAAATATACACATGTATTCAATTATAATTAGTATTTTTATCAATTAAATTCGACGATAAATTAATTAATTAATAAGAAAATATATTTTTTTTTTTTGGTTGGGAATTTCCTTTAAGTTACAGCGTGTTCCAATCACGTTCTGTAATATTTTGTGACGTACTACACTTGTCACGTGTACTGTGTAACACTTGTAAAATGAGTTTTGTATTGTAAAGTTCGGAACGGATAAGTCTTTATCTGTTTTAACGTATATTAAAAGAAAATGTCGCAAGTTTTAAGCAAAATGATGTTGAGGAATTCTGGTGTGGTTGGTGTTTCTCTATTACTTGCATATTGGATGTCAAGGGCAAGTTTAAAACTCAGGGAAAAAAGGTAAATAAAAAATATTATCTTATCTCCTTTAAAATCTTTTAAAATCCAGTTTTCTGCAAGGAAATGATTCAATATTACTGAAATTAATAATAAATATATTATTGGCAATATTTGGAATTTATACATTATTCATTAATCTATATATATATATATATATATTTTTATATAAACAATTAGAAAGGAACTTCATATTATATTCCTTATTATCATTTATTGTATTATAGAATTGTGATGCAAAATTGCACCTAGTACCTAGGTAAACTTCTAGGTAAAATAATAATACATAATAATGGGATGTATATTACAAATATGAAATAGACATTCACTGTAGAATAAATGAAGAAACTAAATAATATACTGTACTTGTAGAATTGTTTTCTTTATAATTATGTATGGAATAGAAAATAAATTAAATTTAAAATTTTACACCGATTTTAAATAATGAAGTTTGTTGTGTAATAAAACTATGATTCTAGAACACTGCTTTACCTAGTTTATCTTTCGGTATTATAGACTAAGTTTAATAATAATATAATAATAAGTTAAGAATACAAATTAGAAATTAACGTGCTTAAAAATTTTATTCATCGTTTTTTATTTCTTTTAATATTATTTTTAGAATCTTTTAGATAAAATTAATAATTTTATTATTTAAGCAATTAAAATAATATATATATATATATGTGTGTGTGTTTGTGTTTGTGTATAAAATAGGTCAAAGATATTTATCATTTTTGTGTTTATAAACATGAAAATTAGGCTACTTTAAATATTTATTTGAAAAGTATGTGGACAATTTCTTCAAATAAGATTTTCTTAAATTTTTAACATTATAACAATTATAGTCCAAATAACAACACAATATATAATGTATTTAAACTGAATTTATAAACTGCTGAGTTAAATATTAAGATTAATTTTGTAAATATCAAAAGTTCTACTAAAAATATTGTATTGATTTCAGATGAACTAATGTTTAACAGAATGTAATTACAACACATTAGTTCATCTCAAGTCAGTACAATATTTGATTTAATATGTAAATGTACATTAATCAATGTACAGTCTGGATATAACTGCTAATACTATGGATGAAAACTTTTGGATAATAATTATATACACACATACTTGTTGTGTATAAGTTCATTTGTCAAATTTAAATATTTTTCCAATACTTATTTGATTTTTTTCTTAGATTATTTATTTATTCAGGTAAGTGGGTCTGGGCCTCCTGGATCCTTTTCTGTTCATGTTACTGTCAAAGGATATTTAAAAGTACTCAAATTGATATTGTAATTTAAGCAAGACTTTATTTTCTATTAAATGTACTCTACTGGTTAGAGACCATCTGTNTTTTAATTTATATATATATATATATGTGTGTGTGTTTGTGTTTGTGTATAAAATAGGTCAAAGATATTTATCATTTTTGTGTTTATAAACATGAAAATTAGGCTACTTTAAATATTTATTTGAAAAGTATGTGGACAATTTCTTCAAATAAGATTTTCTTAAATTTTTAACATTATAACAATTATAGTCCAAATAACAACACAATATATAATGTATTTAAACTGAATTTATAAACTGCTGAGTTAAATATTAAGATTAATTTTGTAAATATCAAAAGTTCTACTAAAAATATTGTATTGATTTCAGATGAACTAATGTTTAACAGAATGTAATTACAACACATTAGTTCATCTCAAGTCAGTACAATATTTGATTTAATATGTAAATGTACATTAATCAATGTACAGTCTGGATATAACTGCTAATACTATGGATGAAAACTTTTGGATAATAATTATATACACACATACTTGTTGTGTATAAGTTCATTTGTCAAATTTAAATATTTTTCCAATACTTATTTGATTTTTTTCTTAGATTATTTATTTATTCAGGTAAGTGGGTCTGGGCCTCCTGGATCCTTTTCTGTTCATGTTACTGTCAAAGGATATTTAAAAGTACTCAAATTGATATTGTAATTTAAGCAAGACTTTATTTTCTATTAAATGTACTCTACTGGTTAGAGACCATCTGTATGTAAATAAAAATTTAAAAAGAAAAATTTAGGAGACACCTTTGAAATGTTTTGCTCCAAATTTTCCTTTACATTCCTTTTTGTAAGGTTACACACTCTAAAAGAAGTCATTCTTTTTTAAATCTCTCAGTTGCTTTCCACTTGAGAAGAATCTAATAAATAGTAGCACAACTGAAGTGTAACCCTATGGCAGGGGGTGACGAATCTTTTTGCGCTTGCATGATATATAGTAAGCATACTTAGCTTTAAAGATGTTTGTGTGCGCCAAAGTTTTAAACTTTGAATAACAATATATAAACAAATTAAATGAATATGTTTTAATTAGAATAAATGTAAAAAAGCTGATTGGAAAAAGGATGATCAGGTGATAAACCAAAAAGATGATTGAAAAAGACAGATGATAAATCGAAATACAGTCAACCCCCCCTCTATAACACTGTTGATTATTCCGTTTTATATGAATTCCATGTTATACGAGTCATTTAGATTTTACAAATATGTGAGCCGTTCATAGCCCAGTACACGTATTTGTATAATCTAAGTGACTCTTATAACATGGAATTCATATAAAATGGAATAATCAACAGTGTTATAGGGGGGTCGACTGTAATATGATACATTATGTGCCACTTTGGACACACTTACCATAGGTTTGCCTCTATGGTATTAACAACATATTTTAAAGCAGGAGTCTCCAACCTACAGTACCAAAAGCATATTTATCTTACCCATGTAGCTTGTTTTCACTAATACATTAGTTCAGAGCACTTAAATTTTTGAAAAGTCAACTAGAATTAATAGACCTTGCTACAAATGATTTTTGTAAAAACTTGTTTACAGAAGGAGGTGGTTAAATTTTTGGAAATCTCTGCCAGAAGAGAATTTTAAGTCTTAAAATATTTGTACAGAGACTATTTATTTCTGCTTCTATGTATCTTTGCAAACACACCTTTTTAAAAATGAAATACATAATATCAAACTATTGAACATTGTTCTCCAATAAATATATAAAGGAGATTTTAATATAGGGTAGCATAGAATTTATCCCAGTTTTGATGACATTCTTTAAAAAAATTAGTTGCAAATTTTATATTGATTTACATCTGCTGTTATTCAGGAAAAAAAATCTTAATTTTAATATCTGAATATACCTTCTGTACCTGTCCTTCAGATTTGTTTTTAAAACTTACATGCTCTCCTTAGAAAAAGGTTGGAGATTTCTGTTATAAATAACTGTTTCACAAACTAGTTGAAATGGCAGAGACTTAGAATATTTTTCCAGTTTACTAAAGATTAATACCATTTTTTTCTAAATTACTGTATTATTAAGTTCATTTAGTATTATTGAATTATTATGTTGGATACCCACATAGGCTAACAGTTGCATCATATTTAGGTTCATATATATATTGCAAACTGAAATGATGTAATTACCAGTCATGTTTTTAAACACTCGCAGACATCTTCCTACTGGTTCCAGGAGGTGAGTTATTGGAAAAAACAGTATGGAAGATGTCTGTGAGTGTTTATATTATCTTTTAGCTCATATGTTGTTTTAAGTTATGGTCTTTTTGTACATATGAGCATGCTCTTGTAGATGAGGCAAAATCAGCACTATATTCCATGAATTTTCTAAAAAACTTTTATAAGATTGAAAGCAACTTTTTATTGTGGCTTTTAAAATTTTTAATAATAGTTACCACATAGAAAGTTACTGAATAGTTACTGTTCAGTACATTTATTGGGTTGGCCAAAAAGTTCATTTTGTTTTTTCCATAAGATAGCTCTAGTAGCATTTAGTTGTTTTTAACTTCATTCAAAGTAATTTTGTTAGATTGTATTATGACAACTGTCATATCAGTGTGAATTTTAAGAGAATTTTATCAAAACTGGTAAATTTCTGTTTTGCTATTTTAGTATTGAAGATGGAAGAAAGCAAGCAACATTTTTGGCATATTATGCTTTATTATTTCAAGATTTATAAAAATGCAACTAAAACACAAAAGAAGGTGCAGTGACCTGTCAAATGTGTCAAAAGTGGTTTGTGAAGTTTTGTGCTGGAGGTTTCTCACTGGATGATGCTCCACGGTCAGGTAGACCAGTTGAAGTTGCTAGTGATCAAATTGACATTAATTGAGAACAATCAACATTATATCACATGGAGATTGCCAACATACTGAAAATATCCAAATCGAGCATTGAAAATCATTTACACTGGCTTGGTTATGTTAATTACTTTGATTTATTTGGATCCACATGAGTTAATAAGTGAAAAAACCATTTTGACTGTACTCCAACACCCCTAATTCAATCAAAACTTCTTCCAAAACTTCAGACTATGAGGCGTTAAATATAATTAAAAATATTTTAATCTTGCGAGTGCTTTCGACGTAAATATGCACGTCNTTAATTGAGAACAATCAACATTATATCACATGGAGATTGCCAACATACTGAAAATATCCAAATCAAGCATTGAAAATCATTTACACTGGCTTGGTTATGTTAATTACTTTGATTTATTTGGATCCACATGAGTTAATAAGTGAAAAAACCATTTTGACTGTACTCCAACACCCCTAATTCAATCAAAACTTCTTCCAAAACTTCAGACTATGAGGCGTTAAATATAATTAAAAATATTTTAATCTTGCGAGTGCTTTCGACGTAAATATGCACGTCATCTTGAGACAATTCAAAATCGATTCAATTTTGAATTGCCTGAAGACGACGTGCATATTTACGTCGAAAGCGCTCGCAAGATTAAAATATTTTAAATTATATTTAACGCCTCATAGTCTGAAGTTTTGGAAGAAGTTTTGATTGAGATAACTGTTGGCGTGACATCCATCCCCAGTACTTAATACCCCTAATTCATTTTTCCTTGTTGAGAAAAGCTTGGAAATATTCTTAGAAAAACTTTTCTATGAAATTCACACTTTACGTCCTTATT